CATAGTTACAGTGTATATCTATACATGGGTATTTTTTGCTGCTGTGAAACAATCTGCCTTTTCGTGGAATTTCGTACCCGCTCACCAAGCTTACATACTCCCTGAACAGTCGTTTGAAGAGGAGCATGGGAAAGAAACATAAGCCATTCGCCCTTAACAGAAGTCAGTGTACCATCATTCTTTTGAGAGGTGATCTAAATATTCGTGGCTTGAAACAGATGGAAAATTGACAGGCCTGTGCAGCAGTTCTCTGGATGTTTTGCCCTTCAGTCTCCGCACCAGTCACGTGACTGAAACCTATGAATGTCAAGCCCTTTTTTATGCTTTAAAGGACAAAAAACAAAACAGGACAGCAAACATTATGAAGCCAGGGGAAGAAAGGGCAGAAAAAAAGAGAAATTACAATCACAGACATGCAAGACCTTTGTATCACTCAAAAGATTTTGAAGATAGAGCAAAAATGGACAGTTTTAATTGCCTTTCTGTTAAGTACTGTTGAATAGTACAAAAACTCTCAAGCCCTTCATTACGAACTATCCTGAGCTGTGACGTCAAAGACAGCAAACAGGAGGAAATATACGTTTTTTTTTTCATGCTTTTAAGAGCACTCTAAAATATTGGGCACTGGTAAACATCTAATATAATATAATTGCTTGAAAAAAGAAATGAAAAAAAAACCAAACATTTCATCAAAAAACATTGAAACTTGGCTGATGTAGAAAGTTGCTTTTTACAGAAGCTAATTAGACCTAATAATACTGTAGGTATGTTTTCTTAAGCACATTGTGAAGCACAAACAACAATTATATGATAACAGACACAAGTGTTCAATAAATAGTCACATTAAGTGACAACAAGTTTAGGGTGCCAAGTAACTCGCTGTATTAATAATGCACTTATAGATGTCTGTTTAACAACACCTTTAAATGCGGCTTATCTGATCAGAATTTACAGTGGGAACTATGTGTTTCATAATGGTCATATTAAGCATCTCAAATCATGAAATATTCTCCAATTTGCCACCGAACTCCTTGTGAAAAAGAAGTGTGGCTAATTCTATTGAATGTGCACTTGTGCTTTACATCTTAAAAGTATATTTTTAAAATCTGTACTTGCTTTTAATATAATTAATAATAATGCAAAATGCAAATAATAATCGTTTTATTGAAATAAAAGGACACTTAAGTGCACTTAAAGAGAGTAGACCCTTAAGTGCACTTTGTAATAATGTAATTTAAAAGTTTTACTTTGAAGCACATATCATTATGTTTTAATAATCTTTTGTCATGCTTTAAATAAGTAGACTTGTTTTGATGTGTTAACTAATAAGCACATGTAAAGTACTTGATTATAATTTTAACTGGTGTTTTATTTGATATTACACTTATAAAAGTTCATATATTTTAAACATACTAAATTGCAACTTCATCATTATAAATGTGTAATTACACATATATTTAAACACATGACATACAAGTTCAGTAATAAATACATTAAAATATATTTTAGTATTTCAAAGAGTATTTCATATAAAGGTGTACTTAAGTGCCACTTATGTGGGTCAAGAAAAATAAACACTTTAAAGTTCAAATAATTGCATTTAATACAAATTTAAACTATAATACATTTTCATTTAAGTTCATTAAGTATATTTTTTATAAGTATATTATATCTGTTATAAGTGCTCTTTTTAAAAGAATGCTAAAGTGCACATCTTTTTTCACAAGGGACAGCTTTCAAAGTGTGTCATTTTAGGAACAAAGCATCTGTTATCATTAGACATCCACAAGCTTATTTCTCCTCTACAGCAGGCAGACTGCTGGAATTTATTTACCGCTTTTTCACAATTTTTTTTATTTCCCTGATTGCAGTGCTGTTTTTAATGCCCAATACAAACAGCCAGCAGCATATGATCACCTTGGCATCACATGTGCTAATGATCCACTCCTCTCCCATCCTCCAATAACCGAATGGCCCTTTTCAAAGATAAGAGCAAGCACGCTCCATTAAACCTTAGGGCTGCCCTGGGAGTTTCTGGAATAGTTTCAAGACGACTTTGTTAAATTTATAACCCCCTGCAATGGGAATAAAATAATGAAAGGAATTAACTATTATTGTCCTCCTGGGATTTGGCTTGTATAAGGCAGAGTGTCTGTTTCTGCATGGGTGACTTTTTATTTGCTGTAAGACATGTAAGGCCGTTTACAGAGCGATGGGAAATGTTCCTTAAAGACATGCTCTGAAGAAGACGAAGTGAGGCATTTTGCTGCTGCCTACAGGGATAGTTCACGTTAGTATTATTATAATACTCATTTCTTTCTTCTGTGGAACAAAATAGCAGATATTTAGAAAAATGTCCAAGCTGCTGATTTCCATAGTAATGAATGGTGACCATGGCTTTCAAACAAGGTTGTCAGTAAATAATATTTTAAATTATGGTCTCTTCCTTACTTTGCAGAAGAATTGGAATATAGCATATGAGTTCTAGGGACTACTTTTACAGTACAAGTGTTACTATAGTTACCTAAAACTAAAATTATAAACAATTTGAGGACTGTATCTCCATCAATGCCGACACTTTGCCAAGGGGCATCGCAAAGCACTGGCCCTAAAACAAGAGCATCAGCAGCAATGTCCTCCCTTCAGCAGAAATAGGAGCTGCCATCAAATGATGGACTTAAGCATTTGGATTCACATGGGATATTGCTCAACTGTGATAAAGGCTATTCTTAGAACTGTTTTTTTCTGTATTGCATTCTCCTCATGACTGTGTAGATGCGGTGGGAGGAGAAGAATGAAGATCAGCAGTACCTGCCTCCTGTCTGTCTGGGTGTCCCTGAGAACCCTGCTATCCGGCCCAGTCGTCTCCAAACACAGCACTGGCCCTGAGCCGGCCACACATTCCAGAACTTCCAGACAGCTCCAACTTTATTTTCAGGCAAAACGGCATCAACGCTCTCACATGACATTCCCAAAAAAGGCACTGCGGCCCCAGACTACCCTGATTCTCTATATGACTTAACCATTGAGGAATTAAAACAATATGAGTTCTGCCAAAACCCACAGAGGAGAGTGGTCAAAGTCCAACATGCTAATATTAAAGATATGTCAATGACACTAATAGATACAGTGGGGTCCAAAAGTCTAGGGCCACTATTTTGCATTTTTGTAACATTCATAATATTCTATTTGTTCTCAATCTTAAAGCTGTGCATTTCCCAATATTCAGTGTGGTCTTCAAGTCTGTAAGATCAGGACACTGAGCTGCTTTATTTTACATTTTAAATATTTCATTTCTCCCAGTTGGCATATGATTTTGAAATCTACAAACTACAAAAATTTGCTTTAAAAAAAAAGTTGATATAAAAGTTTGATTTGAACATTACAATTTTGAATTCACAAGCTGTAGTTAGAATAAAAAAATAATAATTTAACCGTTTTTACAGGATTACCAATAATAGGTCATTATTCATTTATTGCCAAAATAATGAAATTAAATTAGGCTACTTTTCAATTATTAGACATCTCATTTCTGTTCAGAGAACCTGTGATATATTTGAATTGAAGCCTGATAATGTTTTGACACAGATAAAAAACAAAAGAAAGAAAGATAAGAGAAAGCATGATTTCCATACTTAATCTGATAAATTTGCACTCCAAAAGATTATTTTTGTTGACTGAAAAATCTAGAAGTAAATGATTTTCTAAGCTGATCTGGACAGATTTGTGTGAGTCTTCACAAGTTCATATTTGACTACTATGCAAAAAAATGAACTTAATATAATATCCTATGATCTATAACACTTCTGCCTTTCTAAAGGTACTTTATAATTCTGTGATTAAAATCACATTTTCTGAAAGTCCCTTACAGCTTAAGGGTATAAACTACACATTAAAATATTCATATTCCAATTAAATACAGTAAAATTACTGTCATAAATATAACCTGGCAGCATGCATGAACAACCAATAAATGGTCAAAGTAAATCTTTGAAACCTTTAATATTTTAAAACTTTAATTTCCCCAAATCTGCACGAGTGTGCCCAGCACTTTCTCTGGGGGAAGATTTTATGAACATTTGAGCATAAAGCAGGAAATCGACTGGTTTGAATGCATACTGTCAGAGTTATATGACAGGGTTAAAGGTCTCATGCATTGACTTTCCCTTTTCTCCAGATAAAAAGCGGAAAGAAGCTAATTTTGATAAATCACTCAGAGTCTCATCCCCAGTTTGAAGACTTTAATTGCACTGGGCGTGTATGACCCAGCGCGTGTCTTGAAGCAGCTCATCTGCACATGCAGCATATCTCTGAGGACACACAAACCAACACTGACGGAGGGACAGTCATTTTCAGCACACAGTGTAAGCATTTTATTGTAATTGAGTCACTGGTTGTTGTATGAAGGGGCGACAGATAATTGGACAGTCAGCTTAACATGGCAAATTGTCGGTAATTTGAGCATTTGATTGCTTTTTCTTGTTATCTCTCAAGTGAGCAGTGAAGTGCCACGAAACAACTCGCACCATATATTATTTAGCGGTTACAGTATCACCAACCACTGCTGCAGGACTTTGCAAATCAATTATGAGTGAAAAGAACCTATGCCGAGTAAAAGCAGGTGCTGAAATATTATAATAGTCTAATTAGCTACTAGGCTATATAGCCATTCCTTTTGTGATGATCTCGGTCAAAAGTATTGAGGGGATGCCGTCAGTCTTTAAATTGCTTTAGCTCCAGAAGTAAAATCTTTCATAAAAGTGTCAAATGGAGCTGCGTTAGAGTTCAGTACAGTAATACACTACTGCCCTCATCTGGATATCGCTGCGTTTGTTCAACAGAAGCGCTACTGTGTGCAGTTATTTTGAAGTACCCCTCGCTGCAGACTGTAGCGCGGTGACGTCACGTACGTACGTTAAGTATGTGTTTACCGCGCATGCGCAAAGTGACGTAAGGCATGTCTATAACGCACATGCGCGCTGTACGTACTGGCGTTACTGCGCATGTACAGGTTCATTCACTTCCGGATGTATGGTGGATTCGAGATTCGGTGGCAGTAAGTCAAAGAACAGTAACTTACTTACGTTTTCTTAAAAACAATGTGTGTTTGTGTTAAAGGCTTTTAATTGCAAGGATGCTTTGGTCATAATCATAGATTGCAAATGTGTGCGATTTGAGACATTTATGACATGTTTTATGATATGTGTTAGTATTCGAAGTGACAGGGATTCTGCTGCTGGTCTTTAAGGGGTCTTTAAAAGTCTTATTTTGCCTAAAATGAGCCTTTAAAGATGTCTTAAAATAGAGCAGAAAGACTTATATTAATGAAGTAGGCTAATGACACTGATTGTTGCATGCGTTGCAAAAAATGTTTCTCATATTTGTCATCTTTTTCATTAACTAACATTATCAAATATTAATTGATACTGTAACAAATGTATTGCTCATTGTTAGTTCATGTTAATTAATACATTAACTAATATTATCCATTGACACCTTATTGTAAAGTGTTACCTCTTAAATTTACCTTCATGTGACTGGCAGAAATCCTTTAAATGTGAGATATAGAAACCTTTACTTGACTGTAAATGTGCTTTTGTTTAGATGCATGCTACTGTCCTCAGAAAAGGAGAAAACATAAAAATAGAACAATGCATCTCATGCTGTGATAAATATCACTGCCCATTTTGTGAAACCTGGGTCTACAAACCAGTGGACTTGTACAGTGTCAAGAAACATGTGGAGGATCATCTGAAAACAGCTGTTCATGAAGAAGGTGTGTAGTGTTTGAACATCCATAAACATTATTTTGTGAGTGTATTTGCGTTTTACACTGTTTTTTTGTTTTTGTTTTTTTTTACTTTTTTACATTTCAGATTTTATTATCATCAGGTGCAATTTAAAATGCAGAGATGTTTCTCATTTTCATTGCTGCTACTGTTCTGCCACTATTAGACTGACTGTTGGTTATTTTGGACAGATGCCACTGGAGATCCTCGGGCAGATCCTGTTGAGAGTGGTCTCAGACGACGGAGACATGGCCTTTATGAGACTTTCTCTCACGTGCAAGCTTTTTAGGGACATTGCCAGTGAGACAAAATTCAAAGAAGAGCCACTTCATGTGGCTAGACAGTAAGTTCTTTAACTCTAACGTGTAGTGAGTACTGTAAAAAGTATTTGAGTGTCTGTCTGCTCATCAATCTGTTTTTTGTTTTTTTCTGGTAGACTGTATTGCCCTCAACTGTAAAACTTTCAAATTAAAAAAAAAAAAATCAAACTTTCAGGCTATGCTTTCTCAAGCCAAACCAACCTAAATTTTGACTGGACAACCTTTTTTAATTTAAGTTTTTTTTATTTGACTTTTCAGTCTGAGTTAAACCTCTTTTTTGGCTCATTTTATCAGTAAAAGAAAACATGCCTAATAATTCTGCACACCTGAATGCAAAGAGTTTTTCACTTCCAGCCTTCATGGACAATTATATATCACTTATAAATGATTAAATACAAAATCAATAGTAGTTAAGATTTATGTGGTTTGGAATTGGTAAAAAAGTGCTTGGAAAAAAAAAAAAGACTAGAAAATCAACTTGCCTAATAATTATGCACACAGTATAGTTGATGGTAATGTTAATTATAAATTAAATCTCTTAGGTACTTTACAGACAAAGCAAATAACACACTTTTCCTAACACCATCCTATAATATATTTTAAAATACATTTAAAATCTTCTCCTTGTATGGCTCTTTTGCCTTTCTTCAAAATGATTTAATGTTGTTTTAATATTGTTTGTTCTTTTATGTAAATTAGGTGTCGTGAACTGGAGTGCATTTTCTGCACGATACAGAGAGAAGTTCCGGGTGCCATATTCACTGACCCAGTGCCTACGGTGCTGCGAAACATTTAAAGACTGCCCACCTGGCTATGGTGGGAATGGCAGGAGGGGAGTCCTGCGTGGGTTTTATTCCTTCAAAGACTTTGAGGGCTACTGCTCAGTTGATTGTTTTATTAATGATGGAGGTGAATTTCAGAACGTGTAGATGCAATTTTTTTTTCTTTCTTATGTGTCATGTTTATAGTTTTAATCTATATAAAAAAATAAAAAATATATATACAATTTTATTTTCTGTTTTGTTCTTTGCAATAAAAA